AATTCTATAGTAAACTTTATTGCTATCCAAAATATTGTTGTTCAGAAGTTTGGAGCAGTTGGATGCGACGGAACTGCCGTTAACGCAGGAAGCAAGGGTGGCGCGATTAGGCTGATAGAAAAATAAATAAAGCAAACCGTTGCAATGGTTGATTTACCTTTTGCATGCAAACAATCTTCCTCTCTAATATCTGCTAATTTATTTGGATGATCAACCACATGATCAAAAGCTTTTTCAGTCCCAATTGGTGAGGTACTTTGCATCTTTTCTTATAACTTAATAAGATATTATATTAATGAACCTATAATAATATATAATATAGTATTAAAATATGAATACAAGTAGTATTAAAATATAATATATAATATTTTATTAATGAAAATATCTTATATTAATGAAATATTAATGAAATATCTTTGAAGCATTTCACATAATATACGTGAAATGCGTCAGCAGATCTCTTTTGAGGAGATATTGTTCTGCTAAAACATTTCATATATATCACAAAAAGCTATATGAAGACTTAGTTTTCATATAACTTTTAGTGTATACCTGAATAATCTTGACAGAGCATAAATACAAAATATAAGTTTATATTAAAATAAAAAATAATATTTTTTATTAACACGAGGTATTAAATGCACATTTTCTGGTATCAAAAGCTGTACGTTTACCTTAGAAACAAAGAATACGTATCCGTTCGGAAGAAGGCATGAACTTTCTATTAAATGCTCTTCCGCGGTGCTCTGTGATAAAACCGTAGGGACTTCTTGAGGCACCAAAAAAAAATTGATACGCAATTAATACTCTGGCTGTTTACAATACAAAATGTGCCGGTTTACAATACAAAATGTGCCGATTTACAATACAATATGTACCGGTTTACAATACAAGATGTGCCGGCTGGGATGTAAATTGTACTGGTAAATCTCAATCTTAGAATGATTTCTATTATTATTTCAAATTGTTCTTTTTATTTATATTTGTTAATCAGGTTTAAAACTAAACTAAAATGCTAATGTGTTGGCCTATTAAATAAGCATTAGCGTCTCTTCAAGCTCATTTAATAAATTCGAAGGAATTTATTTAATAAGCTCACTTTTCTTCGTAGACTTGGGAGCATATATTTGATTGCATTATATTTTTAGATGTTAAAATAATGTTAGCATTTCTCATAATATATTACCATTCACTAAGTAGTAAAGTACAGTTTATTTTATTGAAGCTTAGCATATACTTGTGTAAACTATCTGATAAAAACTTTATCAGATATAAAATTCTATTTTATAAAGTCAGTAAAATAATTTTGGTTGACTCAATCCCTGATTTGCTCATATGAAATAGCTTACCGTTATGCTATGCCAAGTGACTTAGTTGCTAAATATTTTATTAGGTTTATCGTAATTAAAAATCATACTGCAGAGCATCTGTTTAACACAGTGAAGCAAATGCTACACAAAATATATATTGATATCAAAAGTTGCAGATCTCAATCTTATGACAATGCTTGCAAGGTCGAGTATTATGTGTAAGTAAATCCACTTGCAGATTATGTATCGTACATAGTTTAAATTTAGTTGTGTCAATATTAGCTGAATGTTACGTGAAGACAATTTCTTTAATCGGTGCAATTGAGAAAATATATAATTTTTTTTTTGCGTCACTACAAAGATGGCAAAATTTATTGCAAGCATGAATAACAAGGTGTATGTTGTAAAGCATTATTCACAGACTAGGAGGTTCGCACGCGCAGAAGCAACAAAAGCTTTGGAGCTGAAATATTTAGAATTTTTATTCGGTCATTCAATCGACTGGAAACAGCACTGCTGCGCAAACTATGGAATGAAATTTTAACTAAAAATGACACTGTCAGAAAAGCAATTCAAGAACCTTGTACAGAAATACGGGAGCAAAACTTTAAAGCTCCTTGATCTTCAAAACTATGTGTGAAAATTCTTTTGAAGACCAAGAAAACAACTTGTTTCGAGAGACTAAATAAAATAAATAAAACTAAATAGAATAAATGAAACTAAATAGAATAAATAAATAAATAAAATAGATAAAACCGAGCAAGGTTCTTTGATGAAAGTGAAGTCAGAAAGAAAAACAACTTAGAATACAAACCTTTCTTGTTATTTTTTAAAAGCCTCCAACAGGAGATGAAAAGAAGGAGCAAAGCATATCAGATATTTTCAGATAGATTTGGTTTCCTGACAAATGTCAGTAGTATGTCAGGCATGAAATATTTTTGTACAAAATTATATTATCTTCTACAACCCTATCATGGTTTGGAAATTGATTTTACTGATGAGATTATTTCATTGTTTGAAATGCTAAAAATGGACACAGACCGAGCAAATTTATCAAATGGGATAAATGTTGCAATATATCATTTTAAAAAACTTAACTGGTACGTTCACAAATGTATGCATTGCACTTCGCATTTATTAGAGCACTTAGCTACTTCTAGTAAAGGAGATCGTTCCTTCTCAACAATGAAAACTAAAAAAAATTATTCAAAAACGACAAAAATCAAGAAAAGTTTAAAAGTCTTGATTTAATAAAAAATATGAATTTAAATCACATCATCGAATGAATTGCAACTAAGAAGTACAAAAAAATAAACATTTAGTTTTCTGCATTTAACAAAATTACATTTATTAATTTGTATTAGTTTTTAGCTATATACTAATGTTAATTTGAAAACGAATTTTTTAATTAAAATATTTGGGCTAGAGACATCCATATTTAAGATTATGTTTTGCCCTCGGCCTTCAAAACGACTTCCTGGTTGAATCCGGCTCTGAAACTAATTGAATTAAAAGACAACGTAGAAGTCATTTTAAGTAAGCATGCATCACACACACAAAAAAATGTAAAAAAATTAAACAATTTTTATGAACAAAGAATTAAACCAAGCTATCATGAATCAGTCTAGACTTCTTAATTGATACTGGTTGAAAACAATTTAATCTAGTAGAATAGCATATGTCTGTCAAAGAACTCTTTAAAAAAACTAAAAAATTATTTTTCAAAAATCTTCAAACTAAATATATTACCTATAATAAAACCTTTTAGAAAACAGTAAAAAATTTTCAGACCTATTAAAAAAAGCGCTTTATAAAAATATTCCACTATAATAAAAAAAGGCTCCAAATCAAATAAAAGAAACTACAGACCAATATTCTACCCAACCTATCTACAGTATGTTAAAAATGTGTGTGAGGATATAACTGCCTTTTTTGAAACCATATTATCCAAACATAAATGCGGTTTTCGTAAAGGGATCGTGCTTAACAATTTTTAATACCAATGACCAAAAAAACGGAGAGAATCCTTAGATCAAAACGGATGCTTTGGCACATTATTAACAGATTTTTTTTTAAGTTTTTTAAAAACAAAGATTAAGAATAAATGACAAACTTAGTTTTTACACTGATATGTCAGATGGAGTTCTGCAAGATTTAATTCTCGAACTTCGAGAATTGAACCTTGCAAAAATCTAAGAAAAAGTAACAAGCCACATATAAAAATGTAAAATAACAGTGTTTCAAGTGAAACGTTATTTAACATTTTTGTATGTGATTTATTTCTTTTTCTTTCAGCGTCGACATTGCTGGACATGCAGATGACAACACTCAATTTTGTACAAGATAATTACCGACAGAGCCGTGGCTAGGCTACCACACACCTCACACATCCCAATTGTAAGGGGGAGAGGGGAAAGACAGCAAATTTAGGCTTTTTGCAATTTTAGGAATCCTAAATAATTTTATAAATTGAATGAGTTTTGAGAATTACCTACAGAGACTATGAATATTCATTTAAAATTCTAAATAGGGGTACTTTAACAATACACCTAAAAAAAGTTTTATTGTTACTGAGATTTTTAAAGTAAAACTACATGTTGCACCATAATCTATGAATGATGCTTTTAAACTTCTTGAAACAAACCACAGATACGAAAAACAACACTCCATTATTATTCGTACAACTAAGTATGGATTAGAATCTCTGTCGTACTTAGGGCCTAAAGCTTGGAAACTAGTTCCAAAGGAATGCAAGATGTCTTCATCTTTAAAGGAAATCGTATTGAAAATAAAAAACTGGACTCCAAAGCAATACCCATGCAAATTATGCATAGTATTTGTTAAATGTGTTTGATACATTATTATGTCATTTTTGTTAGCTGTTAGTTTGCAGTTGTGCGTTCATTACTTATTTTACGATACATATTATAATGATATATATTTTTAAAGGATTAATGTCAGTTGACTTAAATTAGCCGATTATAAAGTTATCTTTAACCAATCATGTGTCGACTATAAATGAACCACAAATAATAAATAATAACAATAATAAAATATGTAATGAATAAATCTAAACCTATAACAGTTCCAAGATGTGGCTATTAAATGATATATGACACGAAACGGCTTATTTATAAAATAATTAAATTATTTAAAAACGTTTTTGAATTTATCTATAATAATCTTATTTAATTTAACTAAATTTTTACTTTAATTTAACAAATTTTTATCATTACATTTCGTTAAATAAATTGTTTTAGTTTGAACATGAAAATATTTGGCGCAAGACAACCATTTTATGCACCTATTTTAATTATAGTGTTTTTTATATATTTTAATTAATGGTTAAGAATATTTATCAAATATTATAAACAATTTCTAACATAAAGTCTAAATTATTTAAAAAAAAAAAATTATTTTTAATTAGTTTAAAAACCAAAATTATTTTTTAAGCATTGAAAAATTCGAATCTTTTTCGAAGGCAGAAGTACTGAATTTTTATTTATTTGTTATTAAAGTGTTATTATTTTTAATTTTAATTTTCATTGGATTACAAAACATTAATTAATATTAAATGTAGTTTAATAACATACAGCTGAAGTATACCAGCGTCTTTGTATAAGCATAATACAAACTCGCTTCAATCAAAAGGTTTTAGCATTTCATGTTCAGTCAGGCGTATAGTGGCAAACGGGGCTAAACGAAGAAAATAACTTTGTTTGGAACTAAACACAAAAATAAATTGTTTTATAATGGAATAAAAATAGGGACACACGTCCTAATGCAATAATGATTTTTACATTAAAAGTTATTTTTTTATTATTAGCTTGTTGTATTTCATTTAATGTATGCAAGAGCATACCAAATAATGTATGCACATCAAAGGAATGCAACGAGCTTTCTGCAACCATAAAAGCATCTCTTAATGAAACCGAAGAGCCTTGCAATGACTTTTATAACTTTGCGTGCGGTGGATGGAAAAAAAACCATAAAATACCATCTAGTGAAAATGAAATTACTTCGTTTACAATTCTAACAAAAGAAATAGAAAATGAAATACATAAGTTGCTCGAGGAGGAGCCAAAGAGTAACGAAAGCGAAGCTTTTAACAAGACACGTTTATTTTATAAATCGTGCATGGATAACGAAACGTTAGAACGCTTAAAAGCAAAACCGGCACTAGATTTTATATCTTCAATAGGTGGTTGGTCAGTTTGCGATAATACCGAGTGGCAAGAAAAATCTAAAGACTGGAACGTATACGATACTTTAATTCACTTACAGAAAACATTTTATCCTGCACCGCCATTTTTCTCAGTTGAGGTTACAAATGATCATTTAAATTCAACAAAGCATCTTATAAAGGTAAAACTAAAAAAAAGAAAAGTTTTAAATTAATAATAAACATAAATTTTTATTTATTTATTTATAACTAATACAAATTAAACTCTATTCACTTTAAATTCTTTTATTTATTTTTTTTGGTTTCATTTTAGATTGATCAATCAGGGCTAAGTCTTCAGAGAGAGATTTACTTTAAGCACGCTAATGTAAGTCCAATTCGTTAAAATTCCGTTCAAAGTTTATAAAATACATAAATTAAGTGTTAAATAAACAAAAGAGTATTGCAAGCAAAATTTAAATTTTGATCTTTAATTAGGCAATTTTATTGTTGTTATTTTTGTGTAAGAATCGGATGTTTTTTGTGTAAAAAACGGATGTTTTTTGTGTGAAAAACGGACGTTTTCCGTGTAAAAAGCGGGTGTTTATTATGTAAGAAGCGGGTGTTTATTATCTAAAAAACGGATGTTTTTTTGAGAAAAATATTATTCTAACACATGCATATTTTTTATAACCCTAGATATTGTAGGATTACTAAAAAATGCTAAAAATTCAATTAAAAATATGTTGTACACTTTTTGATACTTTTGGAATCATATATTAATGAGCAATTTAGTGGTTTAAGATTATGGAATAAAAAATTTGTGACGTTACTACAGATAGAAACTCATTTTTATAATAGACCATGCAAGACTAGATTTATTTTCTGTTAAAATCCTATTGTAACTTATAATGCAATAGAAATATATGTCAATTAAGTTTAAGAAAAGATGTCCTACGTTATTACTTTGGTTATTACGTATTTGTTGAAAGGAGAATTAAATCATATAATTTTTTTTTTACTTTTTTAGCATTAGGAGAGTTTAGATTTGGAGGATATTCGTCATTGTTGTAAAATCCAGACCTTTCTAATGCCTTCTTACAAATAAGAGCAATGTAATGAAAAATTTTTTGGCTTGAAGAAGTGGTAGATAACCTATGTTCAATTGAACATAGGTTATCTACCTATGTTCAATTGAATATTTGTAAAGTTGCTAATTGTTTTAAAAGGTTTCGTGGGTGGTTGGAGCTAGCATAGATTTGCTTTCAAATATTCACGCTAGTTTACACCACCGAGTACGCTATAAACGTAAAAAAATACAATTTGTACTTGTATTTTTCTTCCATCTTACAAAAGAAAAGCTATCTACCAACATTTTGATATGGAATTTTTTTTTTTTTAAAAAAAACATGCTAAAAAGACAAACAAACAAAAGTAAAAATAACTAATCATATAAAATGCAATACAAAATTTATTATAAATGTTTTAATCAGTCACACTGTTGCAACATTAATCAAATACGAATTTCCTTACCTTCAGCAGACATGCGTTGGTGTTGTTTAACTATAAATAAGCATTTTAATTTCATTGCTGGAGTGAGCTTATATCTTCTTACGAGTCTGTAACATTTGAGCTCTAGCTATTTTATGCAACACTTCGTAGTTCTGTTAAAAAATAACTTGTTTCTTGTGTAATTTTATTAATATAACACCAAGTGTTTTTGATTTTCAACAAAAATTTTACAAACCATTATTAATTTTTTGGCCTAACGTTCTTTCACATTTTTCACCTCTTGTACTTTGTAAGGGTATTTACTGAGGGTATTTATTTACCTATATTATTTACCTATATTTAACTATATGTCATCAAAGAAACGATGACTATACTTTCTTTTGAAATGGTTTGTACATTTAAAATCGATTCCAAAATTGTTTGTAAATGTTATAACTATAAAAATAAATACATTTATTATTATTTCTATTATTTTAATTACCACTGCTACTAATATATTTATTATTCAAATGTGTTTAAGAAATGATCTTTTAATGTATATCTATGTAGTATCTATATTTCATATGTAACATATTTATCATATTTTAAAGATAACCGATGACTATGGTGAATATATGGTTAAAATAGCAAAACTTCTAGGGTACACATGCAATGAAAAAGATCCAAATAAAAACGTGACGAAACAGATGCTTGAAGTACTCCGATTCGAAAGAAAACTTGCTAAGGTGCAAAGATTTTAATTTATTTGAATAAAAAGTATATCAAGTAAACCAACATCGGTCTATTCTAGGGACAAATAATTCGGATTCACTTTATTTAACTGTACATAAAATATGCAACATTATTAAGATAACACCGTAATCTTCCTCATTAAATGCTCTTCTTCTTTGTTCTTTTTAGAGCACCTTAATACCAAGAAGAAAAATAATATATATATATATATATATATATATATATATATATATATATATATATATATATATATATATATATATATATATATATATATACATATATATATCATATATGTATACTTGCTAATTACATAAATCCATTGGATAATAATTTTTTAATTTTTTTTCAGCTGACTACTCCTGCAGAAGCAAAGCAGGCCGGTACGTTTAGAAGAATCGATTTGGCGATCATAAAAAAAATTATCCCACAAGTACAAGTTTTGTTTTGATTTTGTGTGTTTGATAAAACTTAAAAGTAAAACAAGCTTTAATTTCAATAGAAATTTGTATAACTAAGTTCAACATTGTATATTTCAGTTTGATTGGACGAGACATTTAAAAGGAATATTTCCCGCAGATTTTAATATTCAAAAAGATGAAGTGATTCTGGCTACTTCGCCTTTATACTTATATAATGTTGCTAATCTTATAAGAAAAACAGACAAAAAGTAAGTTTTTTATTTAAATTAAGTTTAAGCTTCAAGCAACAAGTTGTTGTAACAAAACTTGTTCGTTTTATCTGTAATCTTGATTATTATAAATAACGTATACTTTTAGATTACTCTATGTTTTTATGATTATAGGCGATTATTATATATAACGTATATGATTTTTATATAAAAACTATATGGTTTTTATATATAACTTATACTTTTAGATTACTATCAAGATATATTGTTTGGCAAATGCTTCGAGATAAAATTAGTTTTCTATCAAGGGATTTTCGAAAAGCGCGTGCTGAATTTAATAGAAAAATGACTGGCGTAGAAGACAACGAACCACGTTGGAGAATTTGTACCACCGTAACGAACGACAATATGGGTGTACCGATTGGTACTCTGTATGTTGAAAAATACTTCAGTGATAACACCAAAACTAAGGTATTTTTTTTTAAACTTTTCAAAACCGTTAAACAATTAACGACTTTGAGAAATAAGGTTAAATAAAAGTCATCACGTTAATAAGAAAAAATTATGTCAATTATGGTAATGTATTTACAATTGATGATATAATTACAATTGGTAATAGAATTATTGCTGTAAATATTCTTATTTAAAATTAATTGATAATTTAAGATTTAAATAATTAAACCAAATCATTTTGTTTGAATGAATATTATTATTATTTATTTTTTTAAATGGTTAGACCGATATTATGATTAAAGAGATTATGCAGTCGTTTAAAAAAAGAATTCAGGACCATTCATGGATAGACAATGTAACAAGAGAAGGGGTTGACCAAAAGGTATCGTAATCTATTTCTTAACTTTGCGACAACTCATAAATAAGACAAACTAAATTTCATACCTTTTTTATCAAAATAGCGTAAATTATTAATTTTTCATTATTTTATGAAGATTTAAATTAAAGTTTTTTTTTTTAATTAAATCATAGATAGCTATAAAACCATAGATAGCTATAAAATCATAGATAGCTATAAAATCTTAGATAGCTATAAAATCATAGATAGCTATAAAATCATAGATAGCTATAAAATAATAGATAGCTATAAAATCATAGATAGCTATAAAATCATAGGTAGCTATAAAATCATAGATAGCTATAAAATAAAGAAGTTAATAAAATAACTATAAGTTTTTCAACTATTATTTTATCAAATATAAATTTCATTTGTTATTAAAAATGTTAATAAAATGTTATGTGCATGAACAATTTTTTCTGTTCTATAGTAACTTTAGATAAAATCCGAGCTCTTAATTGATTAGTGTATAAAACATTTAGGTAGATGCTTTAGTGGCTAAAGTTGGATATGCATCATATATAAAAAATCCAAAAGAACTAAATAAACGGTTTCAAAACGTAAGTTTAATGTATATAAATTTTATTGAATGTTTTAAAAAATTAAAATGTGGCTTGTATGTAACGCTCTCAGCACATAAGCTCTCACATTGGGAGAGCTGTGTTGGGAACCGTCTATTTATTGATGAAATATTTTCATCGTTCCGGAATATCAAACTTTTTTGGTATGAAACGCAGTGCATTAAATTTTGAATAGCTTAAAAGTCGTAATGTGAGTCACATACATATAAAACGAAAAGGATAGAAAGTTTTTCATTATTATTATTTTTTTTTTTATCTTGCTGCTGATATGAAATAAATTTATTGAATATGGTTGAACTTTCTAATATTTAAATTAGTGACAAACTGTATTTATGGCATTGCTCATGTTACTTACCGCTTATAAATAATATGCAAACAGTGTATGCTGCTCATGATGTAAAGAGGAAATATATAGGCGTTGTGATAGCATGTTGACGACATCGCTTTTATTTGATTAAGATGTTTATATAAAATAGAACGCTTTAAAAAAGTTTTAGTGAACACCAAAATTTGCGCACCCTAAACCTAAATATACTTTTAAGAAAACTGAAATTTATCGAAATATTTTTTTAAACACTAAATTTCAAAAAATAAAGATAGTTTCATCTATCTTTATTTAAGTGTTTGAAATTTTTGACCTCTCCAAAATGTGAACAATAAAAAATCCACGTCATAAATTTTAAAAGGTAAAATAGTGTTAAATGAAACCTGAAATTTGTTAACGAATACAAATTTAGACTAGAATAGTGATTAGAAAACTCAGTTACTTATTTCCCTTACACTTGAGAATTGGGAAGAAACAATTGTGGGATTTGTTTGTTTCAGACTCCAAACACTGTAGTTTTCGGCAAGACATTCTCATTTATTATAAGCGCGAAAATAACTAAATTTAAAATTTTAACATGTCTAAAAGTTAATCTCAAACACCAAAAATTGTTGCCGCTATTCCCGATATATTGCTGAACAGTTCAAACGCTACACATTTTAAATACATTGTAAAGTGTGAATTTCTCAATTGCAATTTTTTTTTTTGAAAAAAATTGTCTTTGAGAAACTCAAGTTTTATGGAAGGTGTTAAGTATATTTTTGAGAAGACATCTTACATAAAAACTAACATTTTTTATTTATCCCATTTTGCAATTTTAAACTCCATTTTTAAGCGTTTTTAAAATTTTATCTTATTGATTTTAGCTCACAATAAATGGTGAAACATTTTTTGATAACAATTTGAGTGTAGACAAATGGATTCGTTACAGATTATTCAATAAACTAAGAAAACCAGTTGATAAATCCAAGTGGCCAATGTTTCCACAAACAATTAATGCTATGTATCAGTTTTATGAAAATGAAATAGGTATTGCTCTATTTTGTACTTTTTGAATTATAAAGACGACAAACGATCAAAAACAAACTAATAATTTTTTTTTAATTTATTAGTTATACCTGCTGGAATATTGCAACCACCATTTTTTTATACTGGCGAAGTACCCAGGTGAGAGAATTAGAGAGTTTATTAAAAGTTTTGCAAACTGCATTTAAGGGTAATAAAGCTTGTTTTAAACTTGAAAATATTTTAAATTTAATGTTACTGAGTATTGTAAAGCAAAATCTTTTAATTTTTCGTGTTGTGTTGTGTTTCATGATGTATTTCCCTTTGAAAATTTTGATAGCTGTCATGATTCATTATCGTTTTATAGATCACTTAGCTATGGGGCTATCGGTTCAATTATTGGTCACGAGCTTACACACGGATTTGATAACACAGGTGATAAAAAAAAAACTTTGTTTAAACTATATAACTAGCCAAAATAAATATCAATATTTTAAAAATAAAATCATCCAATAATAAATTACTATAGTTATCTATTTATACATAATAAGTTTAATTAACAATAATTTATTCTATAAATAGAACAAAATTTCACAAACCACAAATGTTATGTTTAATTTTTAAAGGTCGTAAGTTTGATAAAAACGGAGATATAGTGAAAGAATGGTGGACTAGGGAGAGTTTAAGGGAATTTAATAAAAAAGCAAATTGTATTGAGAAGCAATATAGTCAATATAAAGTGCAAGACTTGTATAGAGTAAGTTTTTTTCATATTTTATTTTTTAATAAATTATTCGCAATTTTTTTTTGAATTTAACTTTTTATGAACAATCTAATAGCTTTACTCTAACATGTACTAGATGAGTTACTATCTATTAACAATGTTTCTTCTTATGCATAAGTTAACGTATTTTATTATAGCTTAAGGAAAAAAGTTGAAGCAGGAATGTTGGATAAATGTTTGTTATGAAAACCTCAAATAAAACAACTTTTTTTTCTTCTTAAGTTAATATACAGTTTCAAGTAAGACAATTGAACAATGTATCAATAATAAAACCAACATTCATCGAACATTCCTGCTTGAATTTATTTTTGCATCAATCGTCAAACAATCATAGAATACTCGGAAACGCATAAAGAAATAAATGGAAATGAATAAAATCATTGTAGTGAGTCAAAAATAACTCATGTATTATAGAATGTTATGGTGGATCTGTAGAGGTTGCTCTAAAACAAAAAGCTCATTTTTAACAAAAATTTGATAAATGATAACAATGTTATCAAAAAATTGCGTAATACTAAAATTAATTGTAAAAAGTTGTTTTATTTAGATAAGTGGTAGACTGACTCTTGGTGAAAATATTGCAGACAATGGTGGAACAAAAATCTCTTTTGGGGTAAATATAAATAAGAATAATATAAATAATTATTGATTACTAATTAACTAACTACTTTTTAAGTTCTCTTATATAACTTATATAAACTTTATGAATAATATGCAATATACAAATATTACTATATTTTCTGTTTTTCCTTCTAATCATAACTAAGTTTAAATATAAAATTTTGTGTTGATATATTGTGTAAACTTTTTTTTGGTCATTATAATGGCTTCTCAGTGGGTACGGTAGGTTTTTTAAATGCAGTAATGTAATAATTAAATCAATACCATATATAAAAATCCCGCTTTTTCATATATTTACGCTCTCTTTAGAACAAGGAATCTTTCCTGATAAACTTAAAGTTGCAAGGGAAATACCTATACTAAAATCAGGAGATAAGACTAGTATCACTAATTACAGACCTATTTCTATACTATCATGCTTTTCAAAACTATTAGAACACATTATGTACAAAAAATTGTATTTCTTTCTAGATGCAAACAATATTCTTTATAGTAAGCAATTTGGGTTTAAAAAGAGGCACTCTACTGATCAGGCCATTGTTCATCTTGTTCATGATATCTTTAAATCATTTGATGAAGATAAATATACATTAGGTGTATTTATTGATCTCAGTAAGGTTTTTGACATTGTCGACCATTACATTTTATTAACAAAATTAGAAAACTATGGTATTAAACAAACAAATATTGCGTGGTTTAAAAGCTATTTGTCAAATAGAAAACAATACATTTCTTATAATGAAGGTAAAACGACCAATATGAACATAGCATGTGGGGTTCCTCAGGGATCTATATTTGGACCACTCCTATTTCTCACTTATATTAATGATATAAGCAATGCTTGTACTGAACTAGATACAGTTTTATTTGCAGATGACACAAATTTATTTTACGCACATAACGATATAAATATTCCGTTTAAATTAGTAAACAAAGAGCTATTAAATCTTACTGAATGGTTTAATGCAAACAAATTATCTCTAAATGCAACCAAAACAAAATATACTTTTTTCCATCGTTTTCACGATCGAGATAAAATTCCTTTAAAACTTCCAAAACTTTGTATTGCTAATCAGGACATAAAAAGAGAAACCACATTAAAATTTCTTGGCGTACTCCTTGATGAAAATGTGACGTGGAAAGATCACATACGATAACTTGATAATGAAAATGTGACGTGGAAAGATCACATACATTAAATCGATAACCTCCTTGATAATGGCTATGCAACTCTTCCTGTTATCTCCATATGAGGGTACAGCTCTAAAACTCAGTTTAATGGTTCTGAGGCCGGCTGGTAGTAAGGTTTCCCGAACTCTGTGGTAGCTCTCAGAGAGGCTGATTCCATCAACAGCTGCAAAATATCAGAGTATTAACAGTGCCATGTTGCGCATGGATGGTGTCCCTGTTAATGCTTTTGGTGTGCATTGTCAAGGCCACATAAGGAGCCCTATGTCACGGCTTAGGGTTAATTAATAGGACAGAGACAACTGCATAGCTCATTGATTAGGAGGCTGTGCTCTATCTATGAATGAGTCAAGTTCTCATTAAACCCAAATCATGACCAAAGTAACCAAAAATTTAAAACCTAAAAAACCATCCCCACCACCTAAATATTTTAATATATCTTTTACAAATATTCGCGGTCTACGAAGCAACTTTCCATCAGTTGAGTCTTACCTCCTGCAAAATTCACCAGACTTGCTTGCACTCAGTGAAACGAATTTAAATTCTGCAATTCCTTCTTCAGATGTCAGTGTTGATGGGTACTATCCTTTGATTCGTAAAGAATCCAATAGTCACATGCTAGGTTTAGGGGTATACATACGCATTAATTCCCCTATTTGTCGTGAAATCATGTTCAAATCCTTTGACCATTCTTTTATGTGCTTTCGCCTAGCACCTCTTCACTCTATCACCTTTCTCTTTGTTCTTTATCGTTATCCTTCTTCCCATGATTGCACTCTCTTAGATGTTATTTCTGATCAAATTGACCATGCCCTCTCTCTTTACCCCTCTGCCAATATTGTTGTTGTTTGTGATTTTAATGCCCATCACACTGAATGGCTTGGCTCTAACACCACTGATCCTGCTGGCACTAAAGCCTTTAACTTCTGCGTTTCTCAATCTCTTACTCAGATAGTCTTTGATCAACAAATTCCTCACATCTCATCTTGAGTCAAATAAACTACTGTCAGACAATCAATACGGTTTTCGATCCTCTCGCTCTACGGCCGACTTGCTAACTGCTGTAACTGAAAGATTTTATCGTGCATTAGATGGAGGCGGTGAGGCTAGGGCTATTGCTCTCGACATATCTAAAGCTTTCGACAAAGTTTGGCATGCTGGTCCTCTCCATAAGCTTGCTTCATATGGTGTTTCTGGGAAAGTTTTTGAGATTATCAAATCATTTCTTTCTAACCGGTTTTTTAAAGTCATTCTTGAAGGCCAACACTCTTCTTTATTTCCAGTAACTTCTGGGGTTCCCAAGGTTCCATCCTGGGCCCTGTTTTGTTTCTTATCTACATAAACGATCTTTCTGACAACCTTTCATCTAAAGTAGCTCTTTTTGCTGATGACTCAACTTTATACTCCTGTCTTGACAAAAAGTCTTCTCTTTTCGATCGCCTAGAACAAGCAGCTGATCTTGAATCTGATCTCACTTCAGTAATAGATTGGGGTTCACAGTGGCTTGTGAATTTCAACTCTAAAAAAACCTAATTGCTTACTGCAAACGTAATATGGTCAACATTCATATATTAATAAATGGCAATCCTCTTACTGACTCGTCCTCTTTACGTCTTCTTGGATTATCGCTTACTACTGACCTTTCATGGAAACCATATATACAATCGATTGCTAAATTAGCTTCTGCTAAGGTTGCTTCTCTTTATCGTGCTCGCCATTTTCTTACTTCTGATTCCATTCTCTACCTCTACAAATCTTTTATTCGTCCCTGTATGGAATACTGTTGTCATATTTGGGCTGGTTCTTCTAACGATTCACTTTCTCTTCTTGACAAGGTCCAAAAACGCATTGTAAATGTTGTTGGACCTGGACTATCTGCTAAGCTTGAACCTCTTTCCCATCGTCGTAAAGTTGCATCTCTTTCTCTTTTCTACAAATACTATCATGGTCACTGCTCAAAGGAGTTATCATCTCTAGTTCCATCAACTAAAGTTCATTCTTGTTTTACTCGTCATTCAGCTAAGTCTCATTCGTTTACTGTATCTGTCCCTGCATGCTCTAAAAACTTTTATTCATCTAGTTTTTTTCCCCGCACTTCAATCCTTTGGAACTCTCTCCCATCGTCATGTTTTCCTGACTCATACAACCTTCAACTTTTCAAGTCTTCTGTCAACCGTTTCCTTGCTCTATAACTCTGTTTTTTTTTTCCTAGAAACTCCCAACTTGATAGTGGTTGCTTGCAGCCTTGTTGGGAGTGAATGCAAATAAAAAAAAAAAAAAAAAAAAAACTTGAAAATAAAATCTCAAGGAACATTGGCCTACTCTGTAGAGCAAAGCCTTTTTTAAATCCAACTTGGTTAAAGCTTTTATATTTCTCATTCATTAATTGCCATCTTAATTACGCAAACATTGCTTGGTGCAGTACAAATAAATATAAAATAAAAAAACTATTTAACAAACAAAAACAGGCAATCAGAATCATTTCCAGTGTGGAATCAGAATCATTTCCAGTTTTACACATTCCCAAGAATTGTTTGTTAATTTAAATATAATGAATGTCTACCAAATAAATATCTATCATCTTCTTATATTTATGTTCAAAATTAATAAGAATATATCTCCGAAAATATTCTACCCTCTATTCAAAATAAATCAGAACAGATATCTAACCAGATTTTCAAATAACAGTTACATTCAACCCAAAAGGTATTTTGCAACGACTGAATTTTCAATTTCTACAAGAGGACCAAAATTATGGAATAAAATATTAACAAATTAACTTAAATCAAATGCAACGCTTAATGAGTTTAAAAACAAATTGAAGCAAAAACTATTGATGAACAACAACTTTTTCAACTGATAAAAAATAACTAATGTACTTTGACAAAATGAAGTGTCATGTCAATAAAACATAATTATTCATAATTATTCACAAAACATAATTGCCGAAATCTTTATTTTTTCTGAGGCTTAAACAAAAGACATGAAACGAATGTGACAAATATAAATTATCTAAAAAAGTAAATAAGTAAATAAAATATTTTATAACATGTTGAGGACGAAACATTTTTATAAGATAAAATCATTAAATACAACAAGGATGAAACAAAAAATTACATTTAAAATTTGCCTGATGGTTGATAAGAGGTTTTTAACTTTGGTATTGTTCAAACATTATATCCTCTTTACTTTTTCGTGGTTATTTACTTAGTTTATAATTTATTTCAAAGTCTTAAACAACCCAGTGGGTACGGTACGTTTTAAAAACGTTATTCGGACGTTTTTATTAGGTTTAAATCTAATAAAAACGTCTAAAAAATATAAATAGCATAATAAAAACTCTATTATTAAAAAGCATGCAGGCAAATACGCATAATCCTGAAGCTTTCCTTTTACACCAGCAGATACCTTAAATTATCTGGAGAATTTTTATAAATCATAAGTTTTTATAAAAGAAGAAATGAATCAGTAACAAGTGACACGATCCTCTAAGACCGTAAAGCTGATAATGACAAACCTCTAATTACTTATTAGTAGCAATCATTAATACTTCAGAAAAAGCTCAGCTTTTTCTGAATTATGTTTTATTGACATGACACTTCATTTTGTCAAAGTACATTAGTTATTTTTTATCAATTGAAAAAGTTGTTGTTTTTTAGAATTTTTAATATGCGTAGCAAATTGTCTTTTTAAGAGCAAATTATTTAAGTAGCACATGTTTGCATGTTTTCTGCGAAAGAACTATTTTTGTTAACAAAAGTCGATAAACCTAATTTTGACTTATAATAAAATATTTGCCGCTCA